GTCCATTAAGCCAAAATGAAACACCACTGATTTCAATTGTACATATATTTTTAAAATCTACTGCATCAAAGTACATACTTGATCCCAATATTCTAACTTTTTCACATCTCCACTAAAGATGAAAAAAAATGTTCCCTCAGTCTCATTCGTCAAGACTCTGTGCTGTTGTGTTAATTTTTCACAATTAGCACAATGCTATTAACTCTACTTCTTAATGCCATCGATTCAAGGAGAGTAAATAAAATAACAAGATTAAGAGGAACCACAGAATTTTTCAAATCTGCTCGATGCAGGATTTGCTAAACCACACTAAGTAAAAATGTCCTTTTTATTTTGCTATTTGTAAAACTGGCACCTAATAAAAACAAGTGAATTAATTTATTATGTTGCAAAGTTAAGACAGATCTTGGGGAATATTTCAAAGAAAGCCACGCTAGAATTAATTACTAAGAGTTGTGGCAGAATATCTTAAAACAATTCAGCAAAAATGGATAACCAAGTAGACTATTAAATATGGTAATTCTGTATACATTCTATTTTGATTCCAGCCCCTCCAATACAACTCAGAAGTTTTGAAGGCCAGTATGGTCTCTTTTAGAAAATTAAGAATGATAATAGTTGGAAATATGATTTTTGCATCAAACCCCATTTTATGTATTGGTCCAATTCTTTGTGCCACTGTTTATGAAAGACTGAGTCAAGGTAGGACACATATGAAGCAGTGGTGGGTTTCATATTTTTTTACTACTGGTTCTATGGGCGTGGCTTGGTGGGTGTGGCGTGGCGTGGCATGGCATGGCTTGGTGGGCGTGGCAGGGGAAGGATACTATTAAATCTCCATTCCCACCCCACTCCAGGGGAAGGATACTGTAAAATCTCCATTCCCTCCCCACTCCAGGGGAGGGTTACTGCAAAATCCCCATTTCGTCCCAATCAGCTGGGACTCAGGAGGCAGAGAATAGATGGGGGCGGGGCCAGTCAGAGGTGGTATTTACCAGTTCTCCGAACTACTCAAAATTTCTGCTATCGGTTCTCCAGAACTGGTCAGAACCTGCTGAAACCCACCTCTGATATGAAGAATGGTAAAGCAGCTGGTGGAACCACTGAAAATTGCCTGAGAGGACAAATGGAAAGAACAGAGCTTTTGGCCTTGAGAAAAAATGGCTGAAAGCAAGAGCTTTATTATCCATCCATCCATCCATCCATCCATCCGTCTATCTGTCTATATCCTGCCTTTACTATTTTTATCAATAACTCATGGCAGCAAAGATACCTTCTTCCTCCTATTTTCCCCACAACAATCTTGTGAGGTGGGTTGGGCTAAGAGAGAGTGACTGGCCCAAGATCATCCAGCTGGCTTTCATGCCTAAGGCAAGACTAGAACTTACAACCTCGTAGTTTAAATACTGGTACCTTAACTACTAGACCAAACTGGTACGTGCGTGCGTGTGTGTTTAAAATATCAAGATGGCAGCCATGATAGTGTAATTGAAATCCTGTCCCCTTTTATGTGTGTGATGCATGCAATGCTTGTATAAAAAGGGGCCTGGGTTTTACCAATCTTGATTTTTTTTTTAACCTTGTGAACCAAAACGAAATATAAAGTCAGATCCAGCCAGCACAACCCAAATACAGGGAATTATGGGACATAGGCTAAAATACCTGGAAAACATCAAGTACCGAAATCCTGCTCTACGATGCAGTTTATTCTAATTCTTTTAAAAAGTGCTATTTATTAGTCTTCCCTTTTCTGTAAAAACAAAAGAAAAGGATAAGATTTGTGAGACAATATTGGGGTTGCTGAGTTCAGAAAAAGAAAAATCAAATAAGGCACTGGCCATTCAGGATGCAAAAGGACATATTTAATCTGTGCAACTGATTTCATAAATGTGAAAAACGGCTGTGAGTTGCTTTACTGTTGTAAATCGAGGACTGCTTGACTGCTGAGGAATTAAGAATGCTGAATTTATACTGGAATGATGGGGAGAAGGAAGAAATTATGCTATAATTTCTCATATAATTATGCTGTCTGGGGAATTCTGGGAGTTGAAGTCCGCATGACTTCAAGCTGCCAAGATTGAGAGGCATTGTTCTAGAGGCTTCCTCAAATAACACACCACATGGCTTAATTATGTTGAAATGATTAGTACATTACATTAGGTGATTACATTAGACACACACAGCAGTGACATAACAGTTTAATTAACTTCATCTTGACTTGTATTTATTGACGAAATATCAACCAGCGCTAGATATAAAGGAGGAAGAGCAAGGGAAACGTATCTTCTCCTGATAAAATTTATCTTCAAAATACAGGAAGAGAAAGTATCAATGGTGTGATTTCTACCTGGTTTTTGCTTTTTAAAGGTGTGGAATTTTTCTGAGGAAAAAATGGGGAGGGACTAACTCCAATGTTTTTTTTTCCTAAGATAAACTACCTAACAATTGCTCAGGCTGAATGCAATAGAGCATGTTTCCTTTCTCGGATATATTTGCTTATTTATCAAAATAATAATAATAATAATAATAATAATAATAATAATAATAATAATAATAATTTTGTGATGCATTTTTGAATGTTCAGTTGACTGAGTTTCATGTTTAATGAATAAAGTAAATAATAATAATAATAACTTTATTGCCATTGTACATGTATACACAGTATACCCATACAAAGAAATTCACTTAACACCCAAAGACTAGGTCCAATACAATAACAATCCCCAAACACACCCCCACCCACCACAAATTCTCCACCCCTAAACCACCCAACATCCATAAAACAGACCAAGTAATGCCGTCCAACAGCTCACTGAAGTTGGCCCTTTAGTTCATTGTTGAGTGCAATTATAGCTCTGGCATAAAAATTATTCAGAAAACGTGTGGTCCGAGTTTAATTGTTCTGTATCTTCTGCCAGAAGGCAACAGTCCAAAAAGATTGTAAGCAGGATGGGAAGAGTCTCTGAGAATGTTATGCAACTTTCTCAAACGGTGAGATTTGAAGATGTCATCCAGGGCTGGTAGCCATTTCAATCACAAAATGACTTTAACAATAGCAGTAGCACTTAGACTTCTATACTGCTTTACAGCCCTCTCTAAGAGGTTTACAGAGTCAGCATATTGCCCCCAACAATTTGAGTCTTCATTTTACTCATCTCAGAAGAATGGAAGGGTGAGTCAACCTTGAGCCTGGTGAGATTTGAACTGCCAAATTGCAGTCAGCCAGCAGTCAGCAGAAGTAGCCTGCAGTACTGCACTCTAACCACTGCACCACCATAGAGGTACAGGTAGTCCTTGACTTACGGCAAGTCACTTAGTGACTGTTCTAAGTTACAACAGACCTCCCTGAGGGTAGTTATGATCCAGATTTGAAGTGCTGATGGTCACTTTCCCTTGTAGTCATGTGACTGCTAGGCCACAGTTAAAACCGTTTACAATGTCCTGCCATCACATGACCGAGCTTTACCGAGTTTTTGCTGAAAACTGGCATTCATTTCTCTTTTTTGGCAAAACTGTGTCATAGCGAACCATGGATCTGTTTAGTGACCAAGGCATTTGCTTAATGGCTGCCACAAAAAAAGGTCATAAAATCAGGTCATCATATGGATGACCTGAGTTACGACCGTCACATGTTATGACCATGATGGACAGGCTCCATTATGGTCATAACTTGGGAACTAACTGTAGGTGGCTTACACAACTGGATTAAAATATCAACTAAAAATAACGATCAGAATCAACACACAATGTTCAAATATTATGAAGGAAGCAGGAATAGTCAATATTTTAGTAGTAACCAAAGGCTGCTTGTAACTTTGTGGGGGAGTGAAGGCTACAAAAGGCAAAAAGTTTGAATCTTACAGATGGGCAGTACGGTCTTGGGGATGGGGTCGTTTCCTAACTTTGTTACAGCTATTTCAGGGCATACACTACAGTTTCCTTGTGGTCCTCAATTCAAACTAGCCAGGAAATCTGCCACTTTTCATTAATTATAATCAGGTTTCTGACAATACAAAAGCAGAAATCAAGGGCTGTTTTGGACAGAGGCTCCAGTTGCTCACTCTTGTGCTAACCCACATGATCTATCTGTACAGTATATGGATTAGCATGTTGTGTGAGTGCAGCCACAAGGATCTGTCAGGCATGGATAAGGATTGGGATGTTGTGCAAATCTAACCAAATGGAATTTTATTCCATAAACCATGGTTAGCCATCCAAAGTGTCATGCAATATGTGAAGCTGGTGGGAATCCTAGAAGAACCATATAGACATCTGAAATGGCTAAGGACTTTTGAGTTTATCAAGAAAGAAGAATACAGAGTCATGTTCTGTTTATTTCTTTCAAAACCCGATAGGCTGCTATTTGTCAGAAGCTTGAAAATATTCATGTAAGTTTACGCCACCGTGTGGTGTGAGTTTTCAGCTTAAAAGTTTAATGAAGGAGCGCGGTGCTCACGAGGTTAGAACACTGGGTTGGCGATTGGCAGGCTTGTGTTTGAGACCTATTGCTGCTATGGGGTGGGATGAGCTCCTGTCACACGCTCCAGCTCCTGCCAACCCAGTGGTTCAAAAGCAGTGACCATGAGTAGATAAATGGGTACCACTTCAATGGGCAACTTCACGGAGACATGAAAGGAGCCCCCAGCTGGGTGTCCCCCTGGGCAACAATGCTGTTGTCAGCAAATCCTTTCCTCACAGAAGCACTTTGGTGCTTCTGGCACTGAAGTATTAGTATTAAAGGGGTTAACAAACTTAAGGAGAAAAAGAGATCCATTATTATCTACTAGTTCCAAAGGAATTTGAAGCCTCCATAACTAGGAGCGATCAACCACTAGATTGCAGTTGCTGGGGGAAATGATAGGGAAGAGATGCTGCCTTCATATTTTCTATGTAGGTATCTGATTGACTGTTGTGAAACTGGACTTGAGGGACCCTTGCTCTGCTCTAGCAGGACTTCTCTCAGTTTCTCTAGGTTGACGAGATTTCTTTTGCTCTTCCAGTGACAGGCCAAGCCAGTGAGGAAATGGTTGCTGACTGTGGCTGAATCCACAGCTGCCAGAATATGCAGCCCAGGGGCCTTCCTGGCAGTGCAAAGGCAGCGGACTGCGCCAAGGAGCTGATCACCACGTTGTGCACGGGGGTTGTGGCCGGGAGGCATGGTGACAACTTTCAAGATTGCCGTGCTGGGTGCTCAAGGGGTCGGGAAGAGTGCCATTGTCCACCAGTTCCTGTACAACGAGTTCAGCGAGGTCTGTGTCCCCACCAAGGCCCGCCGTGTCTACCTACCTGCCGTGGTCATGAATGGCCATGTTCACGACCTTCAGATCATGGACTTCCCGCCTATCGCCTCTTTCCCTGTAAATACCCTGCAGGTAGGTGTACATCCCACCTGTCAGACTTCATAAAGGATACTCTCACTGCCAGCTATAGGTTGCTCTGAATGAGGTGGGCAGTGTCAGCATCCGAGGTCTTCCAGGTGGCTGCTCCTGTAAGTGGAGAGTTCAGAAGAAGACTATGCCCAGTCTTCCCGAAGTAGATTGAAAGATCCGTGGCCATACTCTGCATTTCCATGGAGAAAAGATTAGAGGGAGTAGCTCATGAGGTATACATGCTGTCGGGGGGAGGAAAATCCTCCATCTACTCTTACACCTCCTCTTAGAACATATCCTTGGCTATGTATGCTAGGAAAATAAATAGGGCTGCACAAAAATGTGTTTAGCAGATTGAGTTCTAAATTTTTTATCTTTGCATTAATTCTTTGGCTTTTCTTTGGGCTTGTTTAATCGGAAAATTAAGGCTGATAAACTCAAGCTGAAGTGGATAATCAGGTTTTCACAACTGATTGAGTGCAGTTACTTTAACCCTGTACATGATCTGTGCTGTGCCAGATCTGGATTAATTCTAACATCTAAATCTAACATCTGGATCATAGACTCTTTTATAATTTTTCACAAATTATAAAATCCCTCTAATGATCCAGTTTACTATTTTGTGAAGACCAGGCCACTGAGTAATACCATTGGTGCAAATAATTCCATTGTCTCTTTTCATGAGAGCAAGAAAAACTTCAGCAAAAAACTGTTAAAACTGGGGAATAACTCAGGATATTCTAAACAGATGTTTGACCACTCAGCTGTCATCTGTTTGTCTGCCTAGTGACCTCCAGAAGATATCATACCTGCAATTTCAATAGCAATCTTGGTTGATCCAATATTAAAACTATCCAAATTTAGCAAATTGTGGGAATGCTGGTGACAAGGTTAAGCATGTTATCTGAACATAGCCATTTAGTAAATCCTTATAAAAATGTACTTCTCTCTGAGAGGATCTGTCTAGGTTTGTTGCTAAAAGTTGACATCAACTTGACAGCGCATAATCCATCAGTTGATAGCTGCATAATAAAGGCCATTATGGTCATTCTCTAATCCAGGAGAGGTAGGAAAGGGTGGAGAGAAGCAGTGAGTTCACAATTAAGCATGGATTTCAGTGAGGGTCATCCAGATCAATGTTCTTAGCTACCACTGTCCAGGATGGATCATTTATCTGGGTTTGGTAACAGAGTATCCAGTGTATTGTTTTTCAGCTGGCATATTTTGCTTTACATCAAAGCAAATGATGGATCACATGATCCTGATCTATATTCACAGCATTTACCATCAATCAAGCTGGCTAAAGGTCCTGGGTATTGTATCTGAGCAACATTCTTTCAATCAGCCATACTTTGTGGGGACCTTGATGCTCTCTGAGCTCAGTGGTGGGTTCCTCCCGGTTTGGCCCAGTTTCGCTGAGCCAGTAGCGGTGACGATATGACGTCACCGAACCGGTTCTGCCCCCCCCGCCCCCACATTATTCTTACCTTTTATTTGGCCCCACCCCCAATCTATTGCTGCCTCCTGAGTCCCAGATGATGGGCTATAAGGAAAAAACCTGTTTAAAAACTTGCCCCGGGGCTTCAAAGGGCCGCCCTACAGCTGATCAGTGGTAAAAGGCAGTTGGGTGGTAGACCGGTGCCTCCAAAAACAAATGAGTAGATCGGTGCCTGCAAAAATAAATGGGTAGACCAGTGTCTGCAAAAATAAATGGGTAGACCGGTACAGCTCTGCAAGCAGTTAAAAGTTTGGTAGACCAGTACCTCTGCAAAATCCTAAAGAATTGTCACATGACCATCAAGACCATCAAAATCCTAAAGAATTGTCACATGACCCACAAAATAAGCCACGCCCACAGAACCAGTAGTAAAAAAATTTAGAACCCACCCCTGTCTGATAGTTTTCTTGCAGTCATTTCATTACCATGCTAGGTAACATCATTGATTAGCCTAATTACCTTGCACTGATACCTAGTTACCTTGTACTGATGATGTTACCTAGTTGGGTAATGAAATGTCTGAAAGAAAACCACCAAGCTCATAGAGCACAAAGGACCTCACAGTTCAACCCTGCCCTATAAATTTTATCTTCTATCAGCCATACTTTGTATGGCTACTTGGTTTTCTATTGGTTATAGACAAACTTGAAGGACTTTTAATTAATTTGATAGGAAATATTAGGTTAATCATCTCTCAAGAAAAAACTGCCTATAGTCTTTTATATGGCTGATGGACAAGCAGCAGCAAGGTAGATGGACTAAGTCACAATGTCTATGAATGCATAGTTGGAAAATCTGCAAAACCAGGTTAGGGACAGATTGTCATGGAGAAAATCTATGTGGTTGCTTGGAGTCAAAAGCGATTTGATGGCACATACTCAAATAATAATTTAACCAATAAAATCAACATTGATCATTTTCGTTCAATCCTTTGCAGGATATAAACTTTGCAGGATATACAGTGATCCATTTTAGCATCTTTGTGAGTTATAGTTGAGTCGCCTTAGCAGAATCCTTCGCATACTTATTCAGTAGTTTCAGTGACTCCTGCTCTTTGAAAAAGTGGATGCAGCGCTGTAGGTTATAATAAGGCTCTTTTCGTACATTCATAGTTTAATCTATAGTGTTGTGTGCAGCAAGCTTAACAAGTCCAGCAGCAGCTTCATTATCATAAAACACTAAGTTTGATAGCCTAACTTTTTATTGTTTTATTGTGGCTTTGCATGATAAAGGAACTGGATTATTCATTGTATTATGCACATTAAACAGGCTGAGCATCTTACATGAAGCCAAGCTCATGAAGCCACAAGGAACAATATAGAATAAAATAGAATTCTTTATTGGTTAAGTGTGATTGGACATACAAGGAATTTGTCTTTGGTGTATATGCTCTCAGTGTACATAAGGAGAATAAAATACATTCATTAAGAATAAAAAGATACAACCCTTAGTGATAAGGTTACTAAAAAGCTATCAAATCGTACTAGGAAACAAGTAAAAACAATATGAATTGGAAGATACAAGCACATGGTTATAGTAATAAGTGGGAAGATATTTCCCATTGCATTTTAACATTTACTCTACCTGCTCAGAGATGTGGAATGCTCTAGAAAGGTCCACAGTACAATACAAATTATTATCATTATTATTATTGTTGTTGTTGTTGTTGTTGTTATTGCTGTTATTATTATTATGGTCGTGGTTATTTAATGGCAAGTGTTTTAAGTTTTAGTCTCATGGTCTTCTAGCAGTTGCCTGCCTTTATAATTTTAAGAAGATGCACCTGTTTCTAGCTCTACCATCACCCCTCATTAAATGCTGTCCCACTTTTTTAAGGACAATCTTGTTCCCTTTGTGCTTGCCATTTATCAAGCCACAATAATTAGAAATGCAACAGATGGAGATATTAGATATCTCAGCATGACAATATAGCAATAGGTGAAAATGCAGATGTGAAAAGTTTTGTCTTGTGCAATTTTAAAAGGGTGGGAAAAGCAATCTCAGAAGAAACAGGGACAGAGTTTGCCTTGACATTAGTTTATTTTGTCTTCCTTATTAAAATGAAAAACAAATGTATAGTTCTTATATGGTATATATAAACACATTTTCAGAGGGAAGCTTGTGGGCATGTTTCAAAAATCTCAGAAGCTTGTGCTATGACATGCAAAGAGGAAGAACGACTGGGGGTTTTTGGTAGAGAAGTCCTAAAGATGCCTTTTTCAGGAGGCAACTGGACTTTCTTGTTTTTTCTTTTGAAGATGTTTCACTTCTCATCCAAGAAGCTTCTTCAGCTCTGACAGGATAGTGAGGAATGGAAGGATTTATATTCCTTGCAGACAGCTGGTAATCTGCATCCTTTTAGAGGGTCGTTGAAGCCCTTGGAGGTTTATCTGTGTCTTCAGGGTCACCTGAGTAGTGCTCCTGGTCCTGTCTGCAATTTTTCCTCTGGAAATCCATTCCTACTCCCACACCATTCAAAGGGGGTCCATCCCAAATTGTATAGCTAAATGCATGTAGAGATTCTCAGTCATCCAGGTTGCCCCAAAGGTGCCTTTTCATGAGGCAACTGGACTTTGTTTTTTCTTTTGAAGACGTTTTGCTTCTCATCCAAGAAGCTTCTTCAGCTCATTATAAATATAAATCCTTTCATTCCCCACTGTCCTGTCAGAGTTGAAGAAGCTTCTTGGATGAGAAGCAAAATGTTTTCAAAAGAAAAAAGAAAGTTCAGTTGCCTCCTGAAAAAGCACCTTTGGGACAACCATGACCTGGATGACTGAGAATCTCTACAGACTTTGGGAGAGAAGCTTTCTATATATATAGCTCCTTGCGTCTCGATTTAGCTGACTAACACAAATGTTTGCCAAATTGCATGAAATTGTTAACTGGTTGATCCAGTGTAAAATGCAAATTTTAGAAATTCCCCTCCCCTCCACACCCCTGGCTTTTTAGCTGTCATTGCTCTCTGTCTCCAAATCTTTGTCATCCTTTATTAATGCAATCAGTAATCATGAGGACTGTCACTTATCAGATAATTAATGGAACTTAATTCAATTAAATCCAAATTCACTTACACAAAAAGTAATCTTGAATAAATGCTTCCTTTCTTTCAAGATTATACCTGCACTCCAAATTACCTCCATCATCTGCTGCTTTATAAATGCAGGTAGTCCTTGACTTATCAAGTTACAACAGACTTCAAAAGTCCATAAAAGGGGCTTACAACCTGGATTCGACGTTCCAAAGTCTGCAGCCCTTCCCAGTCATGTGGCATTTTGTGGGTTTGGCATTTGTTCTGCATTTATGGCTGTTTGTGGTGTCTGTCAGACCTGGAAGCCATCTTTTACATTTGGGCCTTCAGGCCTGCCACATATTATTCTGTGGGAAAATGGGAGGGAGGATTGAATAGAGATTCGGGTTAATGTCAGGGTGCCAAGTAACACCCCCAACAAAAGAAAACTCCGAGGCTTGAATTTCCTCAAAGTTCCATTTTATTGAAAATGTCATA